CAAAACCACTGTTCCAGATTGGGTTCAGGTACATATGCCTTGCTATGCTTGACATATGCCCAGCTGGTTTCCTACAACCCTAACTTGTGGTTACACATGGGTGTGAGGTAGTCATGTGCAATTACCTTTTTCATGCCTTGGATAGACTTCCAGACAATTGTGGAAGACTTTTTCTTTCTTTCAGCCAAATAGTGTTCCATTAAGATCATAGCCTTGAGCTACAGCCCATGCTCTGATAAGAAGGAATCTTCAGTTAGGAGATCATCTACAAAGGGCACTTTGCTCCCTCTTTTCAAAAGTCAAAAAAGTTTTTGCGCATGTGAATTTCAAAACCAAAACCGATTCTAGGATGTTTTGGAATCTTTCAAAATGCCTAAGAAATTTAAACATCATGACAAGTTTGTGGGAAAAATCATCAAAAAGAGAAGGGGAAAAAGGGTTAAAACCTGTTTAGATACAAACACATCAGTATAGAAACTTGTGTTGAAACTCTATGAGAACCCATATAGCAAGCTCCTCCAGAATAGTTACTAAGTAATTAGGAAGTATCCGGTGGTCACCTCTACTCCACTTCCTACATGAGGTAAGAGCAGTTCCATGAATGTAGCTAAACATAAGGCCTAATGACACCAAATCTGTAACTCTACATATTACTTTCCAAAGAGAAAATAGAAGTCATACAGTCCTGTCCATGTGGCATTAGTAGGAAAACACTATAAGCTCAACTTTAACTTCTCATGCAGTCTTCTAGACCAAGAGAAGTTATAGCAAATTAAATGAGAGACAGAGACAGAGACAGAGAGAGAGAATGGGAATCATAAGTTAATTTTTGCCATCTGAGAAAATACTTGAAGCTGTACTACAGGTGTTACCTTTGCTTAACTTGCCAAGGAAGAACAATAAAGTACTCTGTGGTAGAGTGAAATTTTCAAGAAAGACACGATTTCTTCTATAAAGAGGAGTCCATGCACTATTGTAACGGAATTCACATACATACGCTTCTAATGTTTTTGGAATCCCAACATCTTTGATTTGTACTCATAAAACTAAAATTATCTATACTCTTTGTGGTCAGACCAGAAACAAAGATCTTTAGCCCTTACCTTTAATTCTTTTAAAAACCACTTTTCAGTTATTCAGAGAAAATTTCTCTGGGCAGCGTTCATAATATTTAAAGAATGTGCAAGCACACCTTAGGAAGAACTGTGACAGTCACCCTACACTACCCTACCTGTGGTGTAGGCCATAGACCATCCCCAAATACTAACCCTGTTATCTGCAGTCTCGTGTATGCATGAACATCTAACTTCCCTCTTTAAATGTCATCACAGATTCTGATTACCTGTCCATATTTCCTTTCTTAACGTCACCAAAACAATATACCTGTAATTTTCCATTTTCTCCTTGCTTCGAGTAGACTACCATATATTTCATCACACATAGCAACCTCTATTTTAGACGTAGTTAAAAGCCCAATTCAAGCAGTACTTTCGTGAATAATGTCTGTTTTAAAGGCATATAGGAAAAGTAAACTATCATTTACCATATAAGGTATCAACCCAAACTGTGCTTGGTGTACAGAACAATTTTGCAGCCACAAAATGGTCACCTGGTCAGAGTCGGAGCCCAAGGGAAATCCTTTAAAAAAATCAAACTTGAGTTTTCCGGAACTATGTAAAATTATTTTAAAATAAAATTCCCATCATCAGCCGCAAAAATAACTAGATCCCTTTATTCTAAGTCCCAGCTCCTTAAAAATGGCTGGTGGCTATCAGCTTTCTATACTATTTCTGCTTGTTCAAAAAATACAAGGTAGAGAAAAAATGCAGTGGGTAACAAAAACATTCTGTCAGGTCGAGGAGCAGTACTCTAGAAGAGGGTAACTATTCCCTTTGGAGCCTACTGAGACATTTCAGCTTCAATATATATGTATGTGGAATATGGCATGTACACGCATATGTATGCATATATTGTAGGCTGTGTACCACATACTGTGCACTGTTATAATTGGACCCTTGGTCTTTCTTAGCCAGACAGCATGCATATAGGATAGATGTTCTCAATCCTTTGGGAAGAGCTCCTTTTTGTTTGGGGTTTTTCTAAGGAGGGCGAGTTTTAAAGCAGCAAGGAAAAATACTGGCCATATTCAATGTGGAACTTCTGATTCTGAGACCAACTGCATTTTTTTCCCTGCGATTAAAAAGGAGGGGCACGCTCTAGTCGAAGGGCGGTTCCAGGTGAAGTGCTGCTGGGAGGGTGGTGGAGAGGACGTGCCCTCTGTAAAGCACCTATGATAGTATCTTAACAGTAGCTTACAACCTGCATGAAGGTTCAGAAAACGGGGTGCTGCATCTTGAAGCCAGACCAGAAACCCTGCAGGGGAGAGGAGAAGGGGGTGAAGAGGGAGGGGGAAGACTGGGAAACAAGAAATCATCTCCTCTGACCTCTAGCGAAGTGCCAGGTTTTTTCTTTAGCTCTTCACATTTTCTAAATTTGCAGATCTGGTGTCCCGTTTTGCGGTTCCTGCAACTGCTGCAGACGCCACAGTTGATGAGCCTCTTGCAGGGTACGCAGACCCCACACCTTTTCCTCTTCTTCTTGGCTGGGTTGGCTCCGCCACCTCCCCCCGAGGAGGACGAGGAGGAGGACGAATGATTCTGCGGGCAGTCTGCCAGATTGGCAATTTGAAACGCACTGTCTGTGACGGCTGCTGAGGCTGCTGCGGGAGAGTGAAGGGCTGTCATGACGATGACCCCTGGAGGTAATGAGATGCCCCCTAAAGCCGGGATAGCGGAAAAAGTCCCCACGCGCTCGGGGAGATTCATTATCTCTGCTTCAGCAGCGCCGCATTTGAGCTTGTTCATGCATTCCCCCGCCAAAGGTCTGCAGTGTTCGGGGGATAAGGTGGAGAGGAAATTAGTATTTGCCATTTGCAACGAAGGTTCTGGCGGACAGCCAGCCTTCCCCAGCCGCTGGGAGTCGTTTCGGTGGTG